TGGGCAGCCGTCCACTGGGAGAGCCAGGCCTCCCTCACACCATCCCCCTTTCCTCTTGAACGTGGTCCCCACCTGCCCTGGTGACAAGAATGATGCTGTCGCCAGCCACCACTCAATTGGGCACAGATATTAAAGAGGAAATTTCCATTAGGTAAATAACTGAAAGGAGAGCCCTAGAGAAGCGGGAGCAATTCAAGCCCAGGCTCCTGTTACCCTGGCCACACGCCTGTGGTGTCCCGCACTTGCTGAAGATCATAAAAGTGCCAGGAAACTGACAGGGCAGCACAGAGGGACAGTGTGAATTTCTTCATGCCCCATTCCAGCATCAACTTGAATTGCAGTTTTATAAAATCAGCTTCTGAGCCTGGCCCCCTGTGAGGCTAATTTGCAGTGACTCCATTCCCATAGACAATGGCATTTGGGGTAGGTGGGGGCAGTGGGGTACGCTGTGAGTGTCAGCTGTGCAGAGCCCCTGGCATCTTGAAGTACCCCCTTTCTGAAAACAGGGCTCTATAGAAATTAGTGACTGAGCTGTGGCCAGAACTCACAAGTATACTGTATGTGGAAACTTCCTGCAGAGAGAGAAGTGGGAGAAATCACTGTTGTCAACTTGGAACAGCAGAGTTCTGAGGGACGTTCTGTTCCTTGGAGCTTTTCCTCTTAGCTAGAGATGTTCACTGGCAGCCTTAAGTTTTTGTGGACTTGAAATTGCTACAAAATGAACTACGTTGACTGAAATCATAGCAAATTCTTATTGTTTATACTGAGTAGAGTTACAAATTATCTGCAAATTACCTTCTGTTGCTATTGGCTTTTCCATAAGTCACACCGCATGGCTGAGAGTTACGCCCAGCACTCCTGACTTCCTGACACTTCTTGAAAACCCCTGTCCCTATGTGGTACCAGAGGTAGAAGGTCAAGTCAAGCCCAGGGGAGCCCCACCAGACTGGGAGGTGACTGCATCAGGGAGGGCTTCCTGGAGGAAGAAGAAGGAGGAATGGGGAAAAGGAAGTGAGGAGGACCCAGAGACTTGCCGCCCCCACCACTGCCTCACACCCAGTGCCTCTAGTTCTCCCCCAGCAGGCGAGTAGCTGGCACCCCAAGGTCACAGCCAGCACCTGCCCTGTGCCCCAGCTTTCATGCCACTACTGTTAAGTCTGCTCCCAGGCCCTGGCCTTGAAGCTTTGTGACTGTGAGGAGTCTTCATGTTCCTCTTTGCATATGAAGAAGGGAAAGTTCAAATACGTTGTGGTTTTTGTTTAATGCCTTGCAGAAGTCAGCTAAGTATTATCTAAACTGTTGCCCACTGGCAGGTCCTTATTCTTATCCTACGAAAGCACAGGCTCCCAGTTAAATCACTTGTCTGGATTTTGCAGCTCTTAAATGCTACAGAATGCAAACTCAAGTGTGACCATCTTCCTGTTTGGGTATCTGAGGTCCTTGAAGGCAGGAGGCAGAAACCACTTTTGATTCACAATTCTCAATCGGGAGCCTGGTACATCTGGGGCTGTCTACCTTTTGATTGGCCGAATTCACTTCCTCATACCTCCAGGAGTCTCAGCCCAGGGCCCTTGGGGTGCTTTTATGTCTGATTAATCTCAGTATCTGCCTCCAGGCTTCATTTCCCATTTTGATCATCCTTGAACATACCAGCCAGCTTTGCTCTTACACAAATTTCTAAACAAATTTGATTTTAAATGCATTTGGCTTCTTTTTATTTTGGGGGCTTCTTTTTTTAAAAAAAAATATAGGCAGGGTGCCCTCTGCCCCTCCTACCCGATGTGGCCCTTGGGGGCATTGCTGCTCTGTTTCACTGCTCTTTAAAGTCAGGGCTGACATGACTCTCCCCAGGCTTGCAGGAGGTCAGTGTCAGAGGGCACCCATAAAGAGTGCTTGCAGGGTTCACGTCCCTCTCTAGCCTATGTTCTCACCCATCTTGGAGGGAGAAATAAGACACAGGGTGTGATTTACTTTCCCACTGAGGTGGAGAATGAGAGGTGGAATTAAAGATGACTCAGTGCTCCACACCGAGAGCAGGCCATGAGGTCGGTGGTGCCCTGGATTCAGCCGGCAGAAGCCGGCGGACTGGCCCACATTCCAGCCTGTGACCACGCTTCTCTTCATCTAACTGACTTCAGTTTGGTTGCTATAAAATGCCTCTCCCCATAAAGTCTGCGTACCCTCTCATCAGTATAGGTTTCATTGGATCATAGATTTCATCATCTTCCCTAGTTTTCTGCGTTCTCAAGGTCACATTTCTAGGGGTGAAGACTTGCATAATTATTTCCTGCTAATGTCTTTGTGTCTTTTACTTCATCTCAAAAGTGACAAAGCACACATCCCAGTTGGCTTGCATGAGTAATTTTTTAATAGAGAAGTTAGAATTCAGACGGATTCCTGGAGTAAGTGGGGTGGGCGAGTGCCAGGAGCAGGGAAGAGTGTAGCATTTGGAGGGAAGGGTGACTTCGCAGGTCGGCAGGGCCCACCCTCCTGAAGTCAGGAGGGTGTTTTTATGCAGAGAACACCCAGGAGCCACGGGCCCTGGGGTTGCTGCAGCTGCCATAGCAGAGTCCGTTGGCAGTGAAGCCTTGGCATCCGAGGCTGCTCTGTAACCTCGGATACTAAACTTGTTCTATTGACTGTAGTGGGTGGTGGGACTTGATGGGAGATGGAAGGGAGGGTACTGGGTAGTTTGCCTAGGGTATTCTCCCATAGTTTCTTAGGAGGGCTGAAACTGAGGGGTTGGTTTTTTTTTAACTTCTTCCTAGTCAACCACCCAGGACCTTCATTTAGTATTTCTTCCCAAGGTGAGCAAATGCAGAAGGTCTGGCTGAGACCCTGGCAGCTAGCAGGCACCCCTGGCCTCTTCCGTGGAGCGCCTGCCTCCTGGAGACACTCCCCAGAGGCTTCTGAAGACAACTCTCTTGCCTTGCCAACCTCTTGCCTCTCCCATGGAGGGAAATTTCTGTCCAGCCCCTAAATGAAGAGCACTGACCGCCGGTTTAATTCCAGAACATAGCGGCAACTCCCTTTGACCCTCCCAACAAGGCTCAGATTTTCCTCTGCTCGGCTCCCAGTGATTACGTTGACCATGGCTGTTTTATGTCTGTTGTTATCTTCCTAGTGAGACAGTTGTCCTTGGGGATAGGTCCCACTCTGCTGTTTGTTTGCATCATTGGCAGTCCCACATCTGTGTTGGACCAGAGGAAGTGCTTAATAAAGACTTCCCACCTCAGGCCGTCCACCAGATCTGGAAAGCATTTTGGAAACCAAGTCCCACACTCTAATTTTATCTGTGGTGCCATTCCAGACACTCACTTTGGAGGCTAGTGTTTATCCCTTGAAGAAAGAGTGTTTTTTGTTTTGTTTTGTTTTGTTTTGAATTCTTTTTCCTGTTAAATAGTCACAATTCTATACCTTTGGAAGACTTCGGGTGCAGGGTGACCCTCCCTGGCCCTGACTGACAGCACCAGTGCTGATGAGACTGAGCCCTGAGGCCTGTCACTGATCTGCCAGCCAAGATACAGTGCCAGCCTTGCCTCTCTACAGAAGCAGGCACCTCGCTCGTCCACACAACAGCGGTGCTTCTTCTCCTTCCCAAGAAGGCTAATTATGTATTTGGTATCCTTCCCTCTTATACCTGAGAGAGGACTAGCATCTGGTTGGGTCGGAGGGAAGCTCCTGGCCCACTGGGGCTCTCCAGTGTGGTCTCCAGTTGCGGCCTCCTCAGTGAGCCTCGTGTTGGCTTTGTGACTTCCCAGGATGTCTTGAGTCCTAAGGAAGTTTGAAGTTCATTTTCGTCAATTTAAGATCTCTGATTAGACAAGAAGTGATGGGGAAGGGCAGGCAGAAGCAGATGGTGGTAGGGATGTGTTTTCCAAAAGATCAGGAGCCACTGCCCCAGGTGAGGGAAGCTTCTGGAGGGATGGAGGGAGCTGGTGCCCAAGTCTGCTCCAGCCCTGCGCTGCACAGCCTTGCTCTCTCCCACTCTCTCCCTCCTCTGAGCCCAGCGCTTGCTTTCACCCATCACCCATGACAAGCAGGACACCTCAGCCCTGATGGCTTCCAGGGCAGATCTGTTTAACACCCCTTTGCCAAACCAGAACAAAACAGGCCCCCTGGGGGCCCCCCAGTGGGCTGACAAGGTCTTCAAGGCAGGCTCTTTGCCTCAAATCTTACCAAACTTTATATCTAAATAGCATTCCTGTGAGTTTTCTGAAAGGTTAGTCGTAGGTCATTGGCACTTAAACCATTTGTTTTGGTAGATCCTTCCCAAGGAGGCTAATTATATATTTGATATCCTTCCCTTTTATGCCTGAATGATGAGGCTAAGTACCCTGTGGTTTATTAACTGTCACTTTAAACCTTTTCAGATTGTCTTGTGACAAAACAGAGTTTTATGTCCTTTTATCCAGTTTTGATGGATGAGACAGCTTCTCTGGTTCACGTATGCCAGGATAAATAAAATCTCTCTCTAATTGGTAGGGAAGGATTTTTGCATTTGAAGTCATGAGTTCAAGTCTTCGATTTCCTGTGAAAGATGACTTAACCTGTTAACCTTTTAATATGCTTCATTTTCTCTTTGGACAAGTAAGCTGAGCATGCAGCACCCACCCCCACTCCCCAGTATCTGTTGAGGAAGTGAATGAAAAGGTGTTAATTCGGGGCAGTTGGTGTCGCTAGGAACATCATTACTGAAACCTAAAGCAACAGTTTGTCACGTTTCCTATTGTGAATCCCACTGATGCCGAGCGCAGATCCCGCAGCCCACCTCTCCTCCTCCAGACATTCTGCTATTCGTTCATTTTCCAGTACATCTGCATTAGATTTGTGGAAAACGCATGCCACTGCGGGTCTTTAGCTGCCCTGCCAGCCTTTGGCCACCAGCATAAGAATTTGCATGCCCCAGTTTGGAGCGAGGGAAGGTATTTATTGAGAAAATGGTAGAAATCATGCTGTGGCTGTAATTCCCTTTTCCTTTTGTTTTTGATTCATTCCAGTTTGCGGGGACGTTGTCAGATGGCTTAGGGAAGACGATGGACAATCGGCACCAGTCCGAGCGGGAGTATATCCGCTACCACGCGGCCACCAGCGGGGAGCACCTTGTAGCCGGCATCCACGGCCTGGCGCACGGTAGGTCACGTGGCAGCAGGCCCTTCTGCCAGGGTTTCACCTCTCCGATGACAAGTAGAAAAGAGCAGGCCGACACAGGAGCCCGGGCTTGCTGCCCTGGCATGCTGGCGGCCTCAGCTCTCGGTGCCCTGCAGTCGCAAGGGTGCAGCCCGTGAGAACTCTTGGACTCATGGAGTGGCAGCTGTTGCAGTTCCTTCCCGTTCTTGGCTTCTGTTTCCAAAGTATACCATGGTGGAATTGCCTGAGTCCTTTTTTAGAATCTGGAATTGCTGCTTACAGACTTGCCTTCTGCTTACCGATCAGCTTTTCACAGAAAGTAAAATATGACTGGCCAGGCTTGTCATCCCGGTGTTTTTGAGTTTTGTGAAAATATATATTCCCAGGGATTATAAACCCATGTGCCCAAGGATGCAGGTGAATTTGTTTGAATTCTGACTTTTAATGCTTTTTTTTCTCACTCATTTGCCTTTTCTATTTTTCTATCCGCTTCTTAACATGGTATTCAAACCCTGGGAAGTGTAAACTAGGCCAGCCTTCCCAGCCTCTGTCCCCGCCACACTGCACCCGAGCCACCCCGAGCCACACATCACTCCTCAGACATGTCCCGGGCCTTGCTCACACACGTTCCTCTTGCCATCCCCTCTGCTGCCTCACTGCCTTGCGTAGGAACATCCTTCTCGGCCTGTAAGTCCCAGCTCCACTGTCCCTGGTGGAAGGAAGACATTCGGGGCGCAGGTGGCAGTGGGACTGTGCCTGTCCCACGGCGTGTGGCCCCTTTCCTTGAGCACCCCCAGGCCTCCGGCCAGGCTCCTACTGAGTAATGGTCAGTCAGCTGAGCTGATTATTCCAGATGCTTAGGAATAGTCCCAAGTGATGAGAAGTGATCAAGGCCAATAAAATTATGATTCTCTGCACTTGGAGGAAGAAGAAGGAATGTCGATAATAAGAAAATCATATTTCTATTTTTGTTTGGAACATAGTGTGTCGGAGGCCACGGTTTTTGTTTAGCAACTTTCTGATGGCAAAGTTTGGATAAAACACCTTTGCTTTTCCTTAACTTGCTCAATTGGGAAAGGAGCAGCCCCTAAGGAGACATCAGGCTAGAAGTAATACTTGGCTGAAATGAGCCTGTTTCTGAACTTAAAAGTTGGTTGTTGGGCAGTCACTCAGCATTAAAGGTTTACTCATTCTCTCTGGTACAATAATGAGGACGATTTTTAATGAATGGGAACTGCTGGGCTATGTGTGGTTGCTTCTCTCTGGCCCAAGCACCCTTGGGGCTGGAGAAAGTATGGCTGCACACGTGTACCAGTGTGCTATGAGAGTGGTGCCGCTTCAAGGCTGCACGAGCCACTGACACAGGGCCTTCCACGTGTGGGGCTCCTCCAGGAGCCTGCGATCAGGAAGTGACAGCCTCACCCGCTGGGGTCCGTTAGCTGAAAGTAGAAGCTTCGGATGAGAGCCTTCCTTCAGGATGAAGAAACCCTTTGGAGATGAAAGCCAGAATCTCCTCAGTCTCCTTGGTTTAAAAACTGGACGCCAGGCTCAGTTCTCCCTCGAGGCCCTGCCTGGTTTGGGTCAGGGACGTTCTGTCTCCGAGGTCCTGTCTGAAACCCTGAATGTTCTGCCATGAACTTTTGTCCAGAAGGTTGGAGACAAGGGATATTGCCTCACTGGAGCAAACAGACCCAGAATCCAAAAGAAACGCTGTGAATTGTTAGTACATTCTCACCCAAGGAATTTCCTTTACCAATTTGTCTCACTAGAGCTGAAGAGCCTAGAGAGCTTCCTCGCACCCCTGTCAAAGGGTAAACATCCTGTGAGTGGCGCTGGCACAAATCCTGGAGACGCTCCCCAGCCGGGCCGGGCCTCTCCCTGCAGCGCCTTTGTCCTCTCTCGCCCCTGCCAGCCTCGGGCCAGCTTTGAGTTTCTTCAAGACTCAGCTTTCCAAGTGTTTGGAGTGTGTTTTTGACCTAGATTGACCTTTTGACCTGACTCCATCATTTTCTCTGATGGTCCATACCTGACTTAAGCCAAGTGGGCAGTAGCTTTCACCCCGTTTCTGACCTGTGGGGGGTTGGCTGGTCAGACTGTGTTTCTTAAAGAGCAAGGATGTACTTCACTGCTTCTGTCTTGTGTGTCGAGGGAGCCCAGTTTCCGAGTCTGTTGACCTGGTCCTGCTGTCTGCGTCCTTACCATCTGCTGCCCAACCTCTGGAGTTAAAAGTAGCCACTGTTAACCTTAGCTTTTCTTTGATTTTTTTTTCAGCCGGAAGGTATCTTCCTCTGACTACTGACCCTTAATAGCATTCTCTGAGCCTAAGCTCGTTCCCGGTCTTGAGTTGGCCCGCCTTGGCCTATTGAGAGATGGACAGAATGCCCGCCTCCTGCCAAGTGCATGGAATGGAGGGGTTTGGTTTGAAATGCTTTTACTTTTGTCCTTGGCCAGGTTCCAATAGCCTTTGTCTTTTTTGCTAGGTATCATTGGTGGATTGACCAGTGTTATAACCTCAACAGTGGAAGGTGTGAAAACAGAAGGGGGTGTCAGCGGTTTCATATCTGGCCTTGGGAAAGGGCTTGTGGGCACTGTAACCAAGCCGGTGGCAGGCGCCCTGGATTTTGCATCAGAAACAGCCCAGGCGGTGAGAGACACAGCCACACTTAGTGGCCCCAGGTCAGTGGTCATGGGGGGTGTGGCTTCTGCAGTTTCTTGCCCTGGTCTGCTGCCTCTCCTAATCCTTACTGATATGCCTTATCATGTGTGTTCTGCCTTAATGATGTGATTATTTAAAATGTGAATATATGTAACTTAAATTTCTGATCTGCCTAATATAATACCTGAAAGCAAGACACAATTACCTGGCATGAATTTCCCCAGATCTGTATGTGTGTTTATCTCTATATCTACCTATCTGCCTATGCTCATGTGTGTGTATGTGCAGTATAATGTTGTTTTTTCCTCAGAAGTGTCTAAAATAGGATTTCATCCTTACAAACCTCTCTTGTTCATGAAACTAACTAGGCCCCTGCCCGCCTATTAAGGAAGCTCTTGGGCTGTCAACTGTGTCCAGCCCCTGGGCTCTCGGGCACAGGTCGCAGCCCATCTCATGGGTCTGCCCCTTCGTAGTTCTCTTCATGAGTGTGCCAGCTGGCCGCCACCTTCATAGAGAATCTCCCAAGTCCGTAGCTTCAGCGGGATGCTCTCTCGCCGTAAGCCCAGTTGAGGAGGGAAGTCATCGACAGCCCACATGGCTTCAAGTCCACAGAACACAACTACCTTAACTCTGCTAGTCGTGTGAGTGGCCTATTTTAACCTCCCTTGTTAGAGTGACTAATTGGGATTCTTATCAACAGAGGGTGTAACAGTTACAGTTCCCAGCCAAGCTGGCTTCCACGTAAGCCCAGAAGGATCTTGCTGCTGCCTTGATAGTAGACATTCCCCGAGTGAGTGAGTGTGCCTTTTAGGAGGCCGAGGCCGAGGACCCGGCCATGCCCCCACCCTGTCACTCTCTCAGATAGGATTTAAAGTGAAATTGTCCCCAGTTAAAATGATCCCATTTATCTGCCCCCCGAGAAGTCCCCGCTGCCAGCACATGCCTGAGTAGGAAAGTGCTTGCTGTGTGGCCGGGCTGTCGTCCTCTGCAGTGCTGTGGTGTCTTCCAGTGGGAAGCAGCTTTTTTTTAGAAAGAACCTGTAGAGTTTACTTGGTTGAATTGCATTCTCGTCTCAGATACAGAACAAACGCCGTCCGTGAGGGTAATTTGAAGCGTTCACGAAGTTGAGGGGAGGGTCACAGAGAGGCTTCAGAAGTGTTTCCGCTTATTTTTTTGTGTGTCTGCTCAAAGCCTAAGAAGTCTACGCCCCGCATTTTGCCACCTAGTGAAGTGTGGACACAGTGAGGCTAGGAATTCCAAAGTACCACCCTCGCTCGTGACAGCCCAGAGTGGTCAAGGGGTCAATTGGTTTCAAAAAGAATCTGAGGTATATGTGTTAAATGTTTTAAATATGTTGCGCTCTAACTTCAGTGATGCTGATTTGAATGGAATCAGTTGAAATTTAGTCCTGTCACTCTGGAAGTCGTGACACTATCTTCCGTTCTCCCCAGGAGCCCTGAAAGGCCAGACATGTGCTTAGCAGGAGAGGCGGTGTTGTCATTGCACCATAAAAAACTCAGTTTCATGGAGCAAATGATGATTGAAAATTCCCTAAGAATTCAGGGTTTGTTGCAGAGCAGAAAGCAAGTCTACCTCTGCTCTCAGAAGGTTGACAGTGAGAAAGGACAACAAACGTAAAACAAATACTGGTATAAACCATAATTTGCTAAAATTGTGAGAAATGTCAGAAACCAATCTTGCTGGGCACCCCGAAATGGAGCAGTCAGCGAAGGCAAAGAGGAGCAGAGCTGGGCTAACTGCCCTCAGGGCTCAGGAGAGGCCTTTCCAGAGGCGTGAGAGTGGCGATGACACCCGGGCTGTGAGTGGGAGTTGACCAGGTAGAGAAGCACCATATTCCAGGTAAGAGGTTACCAAGGGTCCACAGGGCTTGCAGCAAACCGGTGGAAATGCCCAGCGGTTGACTGCAAACTTTTGGAAAAGCTACCAGAGAGGACAACTGCAGAGATGACCGAGGAGCTTCAGGTCGTGGCGGACTGTGTGGTGGAAGCTCGGGGGGAGGCGGAGCTTCTGCATCTTGTCTTTGTTTCTGAAGAAGATACTGAGGGAGAGCTAGTGCTTAGGTTACAGACGGAAGTGGGTCCATCTTAATTTGGGGCCTCTGAGAAATTGGCCCTTTATCCTTTCTTGAAAAGAAACACTTCAGTCATTTTCCCTCAGTCTTATTTGTCTAGGTCTAAAAGTAGGGTGTTCAGGAGGATCTACATTAGAGAGAAAAGGAGACTGAACCAGAAAGCAACAGATCTGGGTGCCAGCACCCTTACTTGTTAGCAGGGGCTCCTGGCTGGTCTGACCTCCGCTTTTTCATCTATAAATTATGGATACATATACCTGCCTCTTCTGCCTCTTGGGTTTAAAGCCCTACCAGAGTTACTTTAATGTGGAAGCCATAAGAACTATAAAATGCTGGTGGTGTTATTTTGCAAGTCATATTAAAGGCACACAGAGGTGTCTGCAGGTGGAGAGATGTTTCAGGGCCGTGAGGTTTGCTCTGATGACACCTGGTCCTTGAACACCCTAGTCCACCAAGGGATAAGTCACCCCGGTTTCTTGGAAGTGAGTTATAACCATCTCCAGTCAGCCCAGTTGACTGAACAGGATCCAGGGGTGTTACTCAGGGTTTTTCCTCTCTGTTTAGACAACAGGGACTAACAAACGATTTGAAAGGATTAGAAGTGAGATTCTGACCGAGGGCTGACCTGAGCTCAGGGACTGAGCCAGGAATAGAACCCAGGAGTCCAAGAGCTCTGCCTCTGAGTCTGTGCTTGGATGAGGCTTTCTGCTTCCTCTGTAATATTTCATCCAAGTGAAGGCTTAGATCTTAGCATCTATGTTTTAAATGACCCAAATTTCAAGCAGATGATAGCAAAGTAAGCCATTAAACTGTGAAAGAATACTCCTTACAGTAATCCCTCTGTAAAGTAGCCTTACAGGAAACATTGGCTCCTCTCTGTGTTTACTTGAACATGATTTTATTTAGAGGGAACCCCCCCCTTGAGTTCTTTTAGATTAAGTGCATCGAAGTCCCTCTCCCTGTACACGTGCAGGCATTCCCAAAAGACAGTCACCTAGCTTTTCTCTGAAATGTCCGATCATTTGACTAGTTCTTGGGAAGGCAAGTGGGGGTTGGGGAGAAGGGAGGGCGGAGGACAGCAGAGCCCTTGGCCTCCGCCTGAATGTTGTGGACCAATATCCCCTGCTGCATTTGTTCACTGTACAAGTATGTGTGGTTTGGAACCGAAATAAGCAGCCTTTTCCAAGGCAATGTTCTGCTGGCTCAGCTTGCATCTTCCAGGCTACGTGTATGGGCCGCATTTGTCTGTTCCCAAGTTTCTGAAAATGGCACAGATGTAGCTGCACTCAGGGTGCCGTGGATGCCTATGGAAAAGCCTGCGGCCCTTCCCTGACCAGGCCAGAGCAGAGCCCACTGACCAGTCTCCATGTTCTGCGCATGTGTGGCTATTTGATGTAGAATTTGAGATGTTCAAAAGGGTAGGGAATTACAGCGCCCGGGAGCTGCCTTTTCACAGTGGAAGGCAAAAACCGCCGGAAAGAGAGGAGTGTTGGCTCTGGGCTGTTTTATCTGCTGGTTTACTTCTCCCAATACCTTCTGGTGTCAGCTTTAGGTTACAGGACGTTTTAGGAAAGTAGCAGATGAAGATTTATGAAGCCAGGCCCCGAGGTTTGCTCCAAAGTATTTCTTCACCTTTTTAGTCAAGACCCAAAACAGGGGGGGAGAAATGGGAGTTGGCAGAACTTGAAATATTTTAACTAATTTAGCAAAGCTCAGGAGTGTCAGCGCTTATCTCATTATTTAAGTTAGATAAGGAGGAAGGGGAATTTGAAGGATAATGATAGATCAGTGTTTAAGAATATTGCCATCAGGGCTCTGCTAGTGTTCTGGAATCCTCAGACCTTGTATTGTGTGCATCTGTGTAAATTCCAGTTGCTCTGAGAGCTTTTGAGTGACCTTTGTTGTTGTTTTTTTTTTTAAAGATTTATTCATTTATGCATATAGAACTGGGTACAGGCGCAAAGAGAGGATTCACCAGAGACAGTGGGGAGCAGAACAGACAGATCAGCAAAATACACTGCTGAGGGGAGCAGCAGGAGTGTCAGGAGAGGTCTGCCGCGCCATGTGGGTCACCTCCTGGGCTGGGATCAAACTTGCACTGAAGTGGAAGTGGCTGTGGCTGTGGCTGGCTTGCAGTGCTGCACTTTAACCTGTTGCACCACCAAGGAGGGCCCCGTCGGTTGGTTTTGTGGGAAAGATTTACAGTAGGCGTATTTGACTTTTTCAGTAAAAACACCCGCAAGACACCACCCAGAATATAAAGAAATACTTTGTTAGTGGCCTCTGAGATTGAAATGGATTTTCTTAACAAAAAGCCACTTTTGCAATGGTGTTTGCATCTTAACCCGTGATTCTGAGAGAAGAGGGTCTGACCCTCCTGGGTCACCAGAGCCTGAATGCCATCAGGTTGGATGGGACAGAAAATGTGTCAGCCAGAGGAAGTTAGGAAGTGCTCTATTACTCTTCCGGTCTGGTTCCCCAGTGCTGCTTCTAGTTACTATGCTCTGTGAGCGGCAGTTTGCCATCTTGGTATGACACCTCTCACAGCAGACAGGATTGGTTTGAATTGAGCCTTTTGGGAACTTGCCAAGTTGAAATCCAGTAGCGGTCACAGTGGGTGTTGGGATGTACCATCACTCTCGCTTGCTCCCACCAGTGTTCCATCTGAGGCAGAGGAGAGAAGACAGGTACGGGTACTGCCAGCCCAGGTACAAATCCATCAGTTCTTGGAAAGTGTCTGTTATTTCTTAAAACTGTAAATCTATTTTACATGTTATACCATTTTTTTTATTAATAAGAAACTATTTTTAATTGATTCCCAGTAAAACTAGCCCTCCCAAAAGTTAACACCTTGTCAGCCTGTAGCCACTGCCTTCCCCTCTGTTAAGTGCAAGATGCTCCTTCTAGAGAGTTCTGTAGACTGGAGCA